TCATAATATTGATAAATTGTTAACGAACAAGTTATGAAAATTGTCCGATTTTGTTGTAAAAAGATAAATTTTTATTGTTACATTGTTTATAATGTTTTAGAAAAGAGATAATAATATTTAATAAAATAAAAAATGCATAAATGCATAAAATAAAACAATTAAATAAAAATTATGTGATTAATTAATTAATTTAGTTAAATTTTATTAAATTATAATAAAAATTTGAAATCACAATTTGATAACAAGTTCATTATTTAAATTTTGTTGATTTATTTTTGTTGAAATAAACATATTTAACTTAAGATTATTCTTACTAACTAAGATTTATATCTTTTATTGTTTCCTTTATATTATTTATTTATTTTCAAAGTTTTGATTTATAAGTTTATTTATGTTTTCTTATATTTATATTATACCTTTGATAATAACATTTAAATACTAATTGAAAACTTTAGAAAAGCAGAAGTGTTAGTAATTTTTCATTTTTCAATGATTTATTTATTACATTTTATTTAAAATATTCGAAAAAATATTATGAAAAGTATCTGACAGCAATATTTGTCATGCACTTATGCAAGAGGTCGAGTAGTATTTATGTATACGTGAGAATTCGCTTTGGCGCCGTTCATTTGGCATATGTTCAAAATACCAGAATCTTGAGAATAAATGTAAAAATCGGGTATGTACTATTATTGATAAAGTAATTTTTTAAAATGTAAATTAGAAATATATATTTGTTTGATTAGATAAAAATAAATTCATTTTACACAATTGCTTTTTGTTTCAATTAATCTCATTTATGCTACAATTCATATTAAAAATAATTTCATTCATTGTTTCTAAAAAATGCAAATATAAAAATATAAATGCAATTTTCTACAAATCTATAAACAATAATTAAAATCAATCTGAGATTAATAAAAAATAATGAAAGTATAAGTATATAATTCATAAATAATCTAGATAATAAATAATAATATAATAATGATAATAATAAATATTAAATAATAAAATGTTGAAATTATATAAATTATAGATTATAATTGAATTAACTAATATATATAATTTAAACAATTACGTCTATCAATTAAAAATTTTCAAAATAAATTTTCAATATTAATTTTAATTTATACTTCAATAGAATCAATTATTTGCAAATGTTTAATTATATGAATTAATTTTTATTTGGATTTCTAATTTAAAAAATTTGTCATTTATTAATGAATCAGAAGTATCAACACTTCTTAATGATAATTTTATATATATTATGCTTTATACATGATATATAAGAAATATAATATATAGAATATTATATTTACAATATACCTTTGGATAAACTATTGTAGAAGTCAAAACAAGTATAAAGTTGGTATATAAAAATTATTTTAAACAATGTAAATTTATATTAAATGAAACATAAATAAATGGCAATTCAATGAAGATAGAATTATCTTATTTCATCTTAATATCACTTCATCCTCAATGCAAAGTTAAATTATTTATAATTTGATAAATTTCAATAATTTTTTTATTTATTAACTTTTGTTAATTTATAAATCAATATTAATTTTTATATTTGTTCTGATCATTAGAATTAACTTTTCAATAATATCCTATAAATATATTACTAGTATATTAAAGCTTAATATATGTAATTTTTATTATTCAATATTTATAAATTACACATTAAGTTTATTATTAATTTCGATATCTTATTAATAATAAATATGAAAAACATTTACAAGATTTAAATTTTATCTGACAAAAATATTTTTCTTGTATGTAAAAAATTATAAATTTTGTTTGTATTCGTTGTAAAAGATCTTTGATAAATAAGTAGTTACATTTTTATTTGAATAGTTATATTTTTGAATATTTTATCTTTTTTTACAAGAATAAGAATAAAAAATTAAATATTTTTCAAATTTTATATTTTTGAAATAAAAAGAATCATCGTATTTCCAATGAAATTGCTTCATTTGCATAAATATTCAGAAAGATTTTTACTAATGTAGAAATTCTTTTAAATATCGATTTGAAACTTGAAACAAATTCCGTTTCATAAAACATAGTATATACATACTATATATTGTACCATGCCAATATTTTTTACATCATGTGACATAAAATTGATATTAAAATATACATAATTTAATCTCACATGTTGTATAATCAAATTAAATAATGCAAATTACGTAAACTAAATGTATGAAACGAATTTTAGAAATTTATCTGTAGTTGTTACATTGGCTCTAGAATAAAAATTTTCGATGTTTTATGATTAATAGTGAAATATGGCACTTGACATAATTTTAGACACCTTAAACCAAGCCAAGAATTTAATTAACTGTATGCAGAAGATATATTGTAAAGAGTAGCCTAGCCAAATTTTCCTGTTCTACTTGCTGTTTGAGTCATCGTGAAACACTGCACAAACAAAATATAATTATATTTTTCATAATTAACAAATCTTGAATTTATGTAATAATATAGTTAAATTTAATTTTTATTGATAAGTTATATAATGTTTCCTTTAACTAAAATTAAAATTTTTCAATAAAGCTTTAATATGAAACTACATATAAATATATAGAGATTAAATATTGATAATATTGATTGGTAAATAAATAACAGTAAAAACATATTAATATTGAATAATAATATCAATAATATTATCTACATATAATTTAAATCAAAATTAGAAAATAAATATCATTAATATCATTAAATTTATTAATTTTATCACACATATTGAAAAATTTAAAATATATTAGTGATAATTCTATAACTATAGCTCTGTTTTTGTTGAGATTAAAAACATTAGAATAACAATTTTTTATAGCATTATTTAGCAAATTATTGTTAGTATACTTACTATTTGTTAAACAAAATTAAAATTTGTAAATTGCAAAAAATGCAAAATTTTTCTCTATTTCATTAATTCACTTATGAAAAAAATTATCTCATAGGATAATAGGATATATCAAACAGTATAAAATTTTTCTTTATAATCTTTATATTTCCAATTTTAATAGATTGGCTTAGTTATTAAAATTAAATTATATTATAGTATAAATTTATCATCTATGTTGTGTAGAAAATAAACCTCGATTTATATGTCTATATTTGCACATATATATTATATACATGTGTATGTATATGTATGCATATAAAAGCTAGATTAACAACTTAGGTTACGATCTCCAACTGTGTCGTAAAATGTTTTCTCAAGAAAACTGCTGCCGTTACTACTAGTTGCAATTATTTTTATAGATTTTTACTATTATTAATACTATTCTTTTTTTATTAAAAATTCCTATCTAAGATTTTTTTATTAAGATATGTTGTATTTGAAATTCTATACATCTTTTATCTTTTATATTAATTGTAAGTTAAAAAACTTATTATAGAACTATATCAATTTTATAGAGGATCAAAATTTTTTGCAATAACTTTATACAACAAACAATTAACGTAATTAAAACTTTTGCAATTCTATTGTTTAGAAAAGTAATGTGCAACTTTAAAAATTTTTCATAACGAAAAATAACGAAAAATAATAATGTAATAATAAAAATAATAATTCATTTATTTTTTTTAATATAATGCATTTTTCTAAATAAGTATTTTACATAATGAATATTTATTTTTAAAAATTGTTTAATTATTTCATGATATATCAACAAATTTGATTCATCGATTATTCCATATTACTTATTCAAACGAATTTTTTCAATTTTTCCAAAAGTTTGGATAATCAATGTTCTACTATAATTTATTTTTCCTAACAATGGCAAGAAGAAAATGAAATTTCAGATTTTTTGAAATCATCTAGAAATGTTAGATAGAATTATGTTTTAATATAGCTATGCTGTAATAATATTTGTAATAATAATTGTAACATACACTTACTAATGATTTTTTTAAGTAAGAAACAGTGAAAATTTATCTATATATTTCAAAATGAAAAAATGTTATCATGAAAAATCCAATATTAATTAAAAATATTGATTAAAAACAAATTAAATAATATCAATATAAAAGCAATCTTGAAAAATAGTATTTGGAATAAGAAATGAAATATCTGTATGTAATAAATTTCCTTAACAATATTAAATACGATAATACTATATTGTTTTATTAATTTAAAATATTAATTTGTCTTTATGTTATTATTATATGTTTATTATACATGTTTATTATTTGAAATTTATTTCACTTCATAAATATATAAGAGTATCATAATTATATAATTTTTAATATGGATTTAAAACATTTAATCAAAATAAATTCTAAATTAAAAATGTTATTTATTATAAATATAATTATTAATTATTTTATTATTTTTAATAATTATATTTATATATATATAATTGTAAAAAAATATAAACAGTTTAATATAAAAGATATTTTTGTATTTTTTTTCTATATGTCAATCGTTATTTCAATTTTTGGCGAATTTTTTGAATTTTGAAATTGTTTTCGAATCACATAAAAAAAATTATTACTTTTAATTATTTATATATATAACACGCACAATTTATTGATTTTTATTTCATTAATCAAAAATGAAAAAAATATGTTAATATTTTTATTAAGAAATAACATTATTTTGCAACTTACTACTCAAAATAATAATAGAAATAGGTTCAAAATTTGCAATAAATTGTTCATTTTTTATTTCATCCATATAAAATCAGTGCCAAATATTACTAAATTTCTATTAGTAATTTCATCTATTATATTTTACAATTTTAATATTAAACTGTTTTGCATTCCATTAAATAATTTCATTTATTATATTCCAAACATAAAATTATTATTATATTTCGCAAAATTATTTCAATAATCATTTCCAACGACTTTTTTCTTGAAACATATCCAGTAAAAGTAAAAAGACAAGAGTAATAGAATTGCAACCGAGTTCCTGGAAGCGAACTCGTGCATACATAACTATCGGCGTAGAAGTTGATCGAGCAGGCAAAGGGGAATCTAGGCAAGAGCGGAGCAACGTGTTTCGTCATCGACGGTCTGGTTGAATCGTACACGGTTGGAGGCCGGTCGAGTCGAGTCGAACGCGAGTGGAACGCCACGGAAATAGTACACAGACTGCGTCGATGATCGTTTGTCGTGCTATTACGCAAGCGGTCGTTCTCGGTCTGGGCTTGGTTCAGGTGTATGCGGGGATTCCTCGTGGCGCCGTTCGTCTGGCGCACTATTCGCCCCTCACACGCGCCAGTCGGCCATGTTCGTGAACTAGCCGATGACAGATACGAGATCTGGCACACTCGAGAAACCTCCTATGGCATCCGCGGAATTCGTCGAGCGCGCAAGGTAATTGATCGATTTATAATGGACCGGAATTGTATCGGAGAAACGTGGACAGTCGACTATTACATATATTAAACGGGAGGAAATAATTATATATTATATAATTACTATATGTTTTGAGATGCTTGTGTAATTCGATTCACGTCATTGTGATTATAATGTTGAATCATCACAGTGAATGAATGAAAATTTCTATCTTCTTTTCGCCTTTCTGATTTTTCCATGCATCTATAATTGAATAAAACGAATTTATATGATTTTATTTTTTTTTTTTTGCCTTTGAATGTATTTTTTAAATTAATATTTTCATATTGTATTATCGATTATAATATTTTTTTTTAATCTTGTATAATTGTTTCAATTTTAAATAGAGTCAATAAAATTATCTTTCAAACTATAAATCATTTTAAAACTGTGTTTCAAGCATAACTTGTATTATTCAAAAAAAACATTTTATATTAATAATTATAATATTAATATTATATATTATATATTAATAAATACATTTTTAAGATATCAAAGTACCAAGATACAGACGAATAATGACCAATATTTTTACTTTTTAAATTTAAATTAAGAAATACATTTTTTGATGTATTCGTCGATACATCTTGGTATTATTTATAAAAAAAATATACATTATTTTAATGTTTATATTTATAATAAAATATACATTATATTTAAATATATTGCAAAATAATTTAGTAGATATTTTAATTTTAATTTTATAAAATTAATAATATAAGATACAAATAACTTGTTTCTTGATATAAATAACTTATATTTTTTTTATATCAAGTTGATTTTCGATCGTTTAAAATTATATGATTTCATTACAAAAAAAGAAATCATCAAATTCACATACTGTTAAATAAATATTTTAAGAATACTACGGTAGTATTACTAGCTATTATTCGAAAAAATTTTCGATTCAAATTTTTGATACAATGTTAATTTTTTTCAAAAAAAAAAAATATCCTCTATCTACTGCAAATTAAGACTCATTTTCATAAAATTTTAAATTAGAAATAAATATATTTTTCATACAAACTATGAAACTTATTTTCATGTGTTTAAAAAAAAGGCTACGTCACAACGAAAAGCAAATGATCTCATAAATTATAATTTCCACGTCTAAACTCTGAAAACGCGTTTCGATAGACATTTATATTGTGAAATTGTACGACTGGCGCCTATGCCATGGTTAATTTAATTCGATGTGACCGAATTTGCATTTCGGTCAAGCGTACAATTTCTGTTCAATCTCTCTAATTACAACTCTACAGAAATATATTTTAGTTACAAACGATAATCACCAACAATTTCGACCGTGTCAATTACTTTTGCTTATCATTCATTAAGGAAACTTTGACGTCAATGAACACACTATACTCGATTAATTCGATATATCTTATTCGATGTTAAATATAAATAATTTTTCGTGTAATATGAATTTATTTTTGTAAAAATTATTGAAATTATTTTGGCAATTCGATCTCAAAAAGCTCAATAACATTATATTTTTGTTATTTGTTTTCTGTGTGTTATAAAAATTTTTATAATATAAATTCAAATAAAAATTTCCTATAAATCATTGTTTATTATATATTGTTCGAATGAATTTTATTTTTGTCAAAATTGGAAAAAATTTGAGAATAATTTGAAATAGAAAAGAATAGATTGTAGTAATAATTTGTTTTTGAAATATAATTATATTGAATCATAACAATTTTACTATATGTCAAAAAATATCAAAATTATTAATAAAAAAATAAGAAATAGTTTAAAAATGGATGTGTTTTCAAAGTTTTCACAAGTGTTTTCTTTTTTTTAATTAATATTTTTATGAATAATTGATTGCATCTTACTGATACTTATTTCCAATAACTTTTATTACAGAATATATGTATGTTTTAAATATTTTTTTATCTATTTGTTTTTTATTAAAACGTCTTTTCGATTATAATTCATTGGCATATTGAAAAAGTTAATATATATAGCATTTATCCTATTATATTTTTCAGAAATAGATAGATAAAAATTTGAATGAGGTTAGTCATATAGGACTTGACAAAGATTTGATTTTTAAAAATCATTGTTTCAAAATTGTTTCAAATTAGTATAATATGCCAAAAAAACTTAATAAAATATATACATATATCCATTTTTAAGATTTCATAAATATAAAATAATAAATATTATTTTTTGAAAACAAAAATTAAATTAATCTAAATTAACGAATAATAATTGACATAAAAACAATAATTTTTAAATTTGCGGTATATAAAAAAATTTATCGATCAAATTCAGATTTTATTAGCTTAAATATTAATAGAAGATTAATTTTACTCATCATTAAAAATCACGAAATAGTAAGAAATAATTTTAGTCCTATATTTAATTCATTCACTATCGACATCTATAAAATACTTTTAATATTAAAATTTTTTAAATATTTTTCTCTTCACAAATATCTTGATCCATTCTTAATAACTTATTATACGCGTATAACCATTCAATCAAAGTTTCAATGAAGGTTCTATCAAATGATATGCTTGGTGCACGAAGTTCAGTGCACCGCTTTCATCGCTTTCACTGTTTTCACCCCTATAACAGGTGCGCGCAATTACCCCTTCGTTGTGCGTACTGCGCTGGGGTGAAACGACGATGGTGAATCTCAAACGCTGTGCTCGTCGTGTGCAGAGTTCGTCGAAGTGCGTGCACATCGTTGACACGCAGCCATCGTTCAGAAAATTCCTGTTCGTTTGCCGGCGGCGTAGACGTTCAAAGGAACGCTGCCGTATCGACCACCGTTCTTTATGCGTTTGCATCTCTCATCTTCTGAAGATTTCACGGAAATGCAGCATCACAGGGATTAAGATAAAGTCGCCAAGTTCCCACGTATGCGACAATAGTCTTTTATTTTCCCTCTTTGTTACTTTAATAATTATAATATATTTTAATTAATATTATAAACAAAGATTTACATGCATTACTATAATATTTAAAATTTTTTTTTTTAAATTACTAATGATTTGATTTCAAGATTTTAAAATTACGATATAATAAGGTAAGATAAAATATGAAATAGTGAAAGAAATATACAAAGTTATTATCAAATTGCGAATATGTAAATGTATTTATGTAAATGATTTCTACAATTTCTAAATACTTCTATATTTTTGTGCGCTGAATTCGAATTTGATTATAAAAATTATTTGTTGTGTTAGATTTAGGACATAAACGAATAAAAAATATCGATTTTTGCTATAAGGATATATTTTTTATGTAATTATAAAATATATTATAAAGTTGTCATAATAGATGGTTAAAAATAATAGATATATGATAAAGATGTTCAAATAAAATTTTCAAGGTAATTGTTAAAATATAGTTACGTAATTTTATAATATATTATAAAACGAATATAAATATATTATGATTGAATTGTATTAATGAAAATACATATTTTTATATAAAATGAGTAAAATAATGATAAATTAAATGTTTTGTAATTGTAGCAATTGTAGTAATTTAATTAAAATAATTTTAAAAATATATTTTTATTTTGTATTTGTTGTATATTATATATGTCTTATATGTTTATGTTTAAAAACATATGTAAGAATATATATTATAATACAGAATATATGAATTATTTATTTTTCACATATTTTCCACATTATGTTAAGCTTGTGTAGAATATCCATTTCATCAAATTAATTGACAAACTATATTTTTGCATTCTTGAATTATTAGATATTGGTTCAGAAAAATAAAATATTATTAAATATAAAATATGTTTATATATATAAACAAAAGAATAAAATTATTTAATTATGAAATTTATATATAAAAAAACTATTTTGATTTTAAAACATTTTTCTTTTTGTTTATGTCTTCTATTATTATGAATCAATTTTTTTCAGAAAGATAGCTTGAGATATTTCAGAAAATGTTTTATAAAACATTTAACATGTATGTTCAAAAAATTTAATTTTTTTTATTCAAAAATATACTGAACCTAAAATGCAAAAGAATCATTAAAAATATGTTAAATAATTAATATATTATTTATCTTTCTTTTTTAAAGTATCGATCTTTTCAATTTTTATTTATGCATATCTGGTAAATTTTTGAAATCGTTATTTTTTCGAAAAAAAATCTTCTATAAAAGAAATGTATTCTATGTTTTCGATTTATTTTTTAAAAATTACTTTTTTTTATATGATTAATAAATCTTCGATATAAAAATATTAATTTTTCTCACAAACTTGAATTCATGTTCATGTCTATGCGTTTCGCAGTTATAACGGGTTTATTGCGAGCCCAGCTGGCGTGCATCCATAAATTATGCTCGTAAAAACTCTGCAGGTTTTCCCTGGCGAGCTTAAAGCTACTGTGACAAGAATGTAAGCTTAACTGCAAGAGTTGAAATTAGATTTTTTGATATGTTTATTATATACATATATGTATACAGATAGTATAAATAATATATAGACTTATTTCAAAAGCTTGAAACAACAAATTTAATAATATGAATTTTAACGTATAAATTTAATTGTATTTTTTATTAAAATTCCATTATCTTATACTTTATTATATCCATTATCTTATACTTTATTTTATAAAATCAAATTAATATTTATTACTGGTTAATTTTTTGAAATTATTCACAATTATTCACACAATAAATTAATAATTTATTGTAAAGAATATTAAGAAGTTATCACAATTATTCTATTTTAAAGAATGTTGTTAACTATGACTATATATACATTATTATATTATAAACTATATTATTATAAAGTTAAATCTAAAGAACTGGTAATCTTTCTTAGAAAACGATTCTAAAATTCTAAAAATTCTTACAGCTATCGTTTTAACGATATGCTTTTGTGTTATTATGAAATACTGCGTAATTAACCGTGTTGTGTTTCTTCTATATTGCGCATAAAAGTTTCGGTAGTTGCTGTGTCAAATAAATACCGTCAAATGTGACA